TTTTTTTTTGTTTTTTGTTTTTTTTTTTGAGATGGAGCCTCATGCTATCCCCCTGGGTAGAGTGCCATGGCATCACGCTCACAGCAACCTCCAACTCCTGGGCTCAAGCGAGTCTCCTGCCTCAGCCTCCCAAGTAGCTGGGACCACAGGCGCCCGCCACAACGCCTGGCCATTTTTTGGTTGCAGCCATCATTGTTGTTTGGCGGGCCCGGGCTGGGGATTCAAACCTGCCACCTTAGGTGTACGTGGCTGGCGCCTTAGCCGCTTGAGCCACAGGCGCCGAGCCTTTTTTTTGTTTTTTTTTTAGGAATTTTAGTCCACTATCATAAAAGAATAAGCATGTGTTTCTTTTTAAGAATTTTGATTCAAAATTTGTTTATTATTACAGTTGTGCTATGTTTTCAAATGAAAATCAGAAAAAGATCATTTCTAAAGTACTAGAAATTAATTATGTTTGCTCTTTCAGTAATACTACTTATACTTTAGTGCTATATGAGCATAATGGTTATATATGCATTGTTTCCTTTTGACTTTGATAACTACTCTGTGAATAGGCACATAGGTTTTATTATTTACAATTTACAAGTGAAACTGAGAGGTGAAGCAACTTCATTAAGATCACATGGCCACTAGAAGAGCTAAGGTTTAAATCCAGATCATCTGACTCCCAAAGTTTTGCTGTTAAGCTGGAACTAGAAGCCAGGTCTTTCAACTCTCAGTTAATTCTGTTGATAGTCCATATTTCTGTCTAAAGTCATGTAGTATTTATGTTCTTTACAAAAACCAGTATATCTAGTGTGTATTGCAGGTGCTTGAGATACCTCTCAAAATAAACCTTTCCTTGCTTTGGAGACGTACATGTATGTCTGATAGTTTTAACTGGCGTATTCCCTCCTCTCTCCACTACCTAACTCCCAATCCTGAAAGCCATAGACAATGGGTAGAACAGACAAATAACATAAATCTTATTCATCATTTATCTAATCTCTGCCACTTCCAAATTGTCAGCTAAAGCTACTCGAGCAAATTTAACAACTTCAAATTTCACTTTCTTTTTTCTACTTATTTTCTGAAAAGGTGACAAAAGAAATACAGGCAGAGAAGATTAGAGATAACAGCAGGGGTAACAACAGATGCAGTTAATACACGTGGAGAATTCTGAAATTATTGAGATCTGGTTGCAGTTTTTTTTCATTCCCATTAATAATAATGATAAAAGATTTTTCTTCTAGCGTTCCCATTAGTAATGGTAAAAGATTTTTCTTCTAGAGTTAGTTATTCTAAGAATCACCATAGAATTGGGCAGAATGTGTAGCAATTTTTTAATCTCATCTCGTGCTTGTTCACCTTTATTAAATGCAGGTAACTGTCGCTCACATCAATGCCACTGCAAAGAATGCTGCTGATGACAAACTCCGACAGAGTCTCCGAAGGTTTGCAAATACTCACACTGCTCCAGCCACTGTGGTTCTTGTGTCAAGTGAGTAAGGGAACATTGGCTAATTTCAGCTAATCTCACTGTGCGGGAATTACCATAGAAGCAGAAACGTGTGCAAGTTAAATGTACGCCAAAGAGGCTGAACTACATAAGACATGTTTATGCTTATTGTTGAGAGCTGTTTAGAAAAAAAATTGGGTCTACAGGATTTTCTATATTTTCTCCTTGGAACTTGAGTTCTCGTGGGGCCAGTTTTATTAAAAAGAAAATTATATATATATATATAATATATTTTCTTTAAGCTTGGGTTCAGTATTACAAATTTTGAAAATCCAAGATGAGTGATTTTCAAACTTAAGTCTCCCCAACATTTAATAATTGCTGTATTTTAATATGGAATGTAACATGTCTTGGAATTCACTAAAGGTGTTTGGCGATATTGTCTTATATGAAATGTGTTCCTATTCTAAGAAGGGAGGAAGCAATAGTCCAGTCTATTTTCCCAAGTGGGTGTTAGTAGAGTTGTCTCTGTCAAGTGTTTCTAACGTTTGGGAATGGGGTTGGGCTGTACCTTTTCTTTCAGCTGATGTCAATTTTGCATTGGAACTTAGTGACCTGAGACACAGGCATGGTTTCCACATAATTTTGGTCCATAAAAACCAGGCCTCAGAAGCACTGCTGCATCACGCTAACGAGCTGATCAGATTTGAAGAGTTCATTTCCGACTTGCCCCCCAGGTTACCACTAAAAATGCCAGTAAGTGGGTTTGCATCATTTTTGCCATTTTCCAATATTAGATTTTGGAGGCTGAAAGATAGCCCTTAGCAAGGGGGTTGGTATGCCCATGTGGGGCTGTTCTTTGTGGGGAGCTGATCAGATCTTGGAAACCTTCATTTCTTTTCTTACAAATATACAGAGAATTGATATGTATGAATTTTGCTTTCATTTTTTTCAAAATATCATAGGGAATTGGCTTGTAGATTTACCTTACCAACAGCCACTGGTCATTGTCTCCAAAGTTAGTGTTTTGTGGCAAATAGAAGGAAGTTATAGCATAAGAGTCACTGGGTCATATGACCCATAAGAGTCAAGTTTTGCTTCCCCAAGTATCATGGGTAGAGAATATGGTGAGGTTTGCACGTGCTTGTGTTAACAGAGTAAACAAGAGTAATCATGATCAAGTAAACAGAATAGTCTTGCATTTTTTAGGCAATTAATCCTTAAACACCAGCAGGCCTCTGGGGCTGTGCTTTCTGTAGTGCATTCCGGTGGTGCGTGGACACAGTTAGGAGCAGTGGTTGCTGCTACACCTGTAGCCTATTGAAGCCACTTGTGAGGCAAGTGAGAGCCTATCTCTAGAGGGAAGAATGTTTCTGATAGACTTGAGTTAGGATGAGAATGTTTAGTGTGGTGTTGAGCTATGTTTAACCTATTTGGAGGTTATGTGTGTAACTCTTAAATAGTAGTAATGGAGAGGAGTGATTGTGTGGATGATCCAGAACAGTGGGCGATCCTATACATTAAATGCAGTTTCAACATACAATCTAATAATGTTGGAGTTACTCAAGGACCTTAGAAAAGATCTCATGTGATGTCTTTATTTAAGGGAGGAAGAGGCAGCTCTTAGAAGAAGTAAGCAGCTTGTCAGCAATTCTCTCTGCCTTTGTTTCACACTTACTTTTCTAACTTTGACAATTTTAAGTTGAAGGTAGTATTTTAGCTGAGAACTTGCCCACTTTAGAGTTTCTTATACCTCATGATTTAAAAAAACGTATAAAAACCTGGGCAGCACCTGTGGCTCATAGGAGTAGAGCACCAACCCCATATGCCAGAGGTGGTGGGTTCAAACCCAGCCCTGGCCAGAAACTGCAAAAAAAAGAAAAAAAGAAAATAAAATACAAAACCCTGATTATTTAAGACATTCACTCTTGCTAGATGTTTTTCCCTCATCCACCAGATGAATAATTTAAGATATATTTCTTCTTATGTTCTTTAGTCTGTCCTTTTGATTTTAATAAATGTGTATTAGTACTGCCTAAGTTTTGAGTCCCAGATAGAGATTTTGATGAGTGGCGAGCTCCCCTCAATAAAAAGAAACCCTCTGATTAGAAAAGTAATGTGTTTTTTATAAAAAATAAATGAACAATAATATTTAGAAATGTGGGAAGTGGCCTGGGTGCAATGGCTGATGACTATAATCCAAGCACACTGGGAGGCTGAAGTGGGAGGATCCCTTGAGCTCAGGAGTTTGAGACTAGCCTGAGCAAGAGCAAGACCTGTCTCTCCTAAAAATAAAAGAGTTAGCCGGGTGTGTGGTAGGTGCCTGTAGTCCCAGCTACTTGGGAGGCTGAGGCAAGTAGATAACTTAAGCCCAACAGTTTGAGGTTGCTGACAGGTAGGCTGACGCCACTGTAGTCGAGCCTGGGCAACAGAGTGAAACTCTGTCTCAAAAGGAATAAAAAGACACGCACACAAATCAAATGTGGAAAGTGAAAACCCTACAACCCTCTGCTCCATGGACAACCACTGTTAACAGTTTGATATCATTTTCCAGATTTTAAAAATGTAATAATTTTTTATTACACTATCAGTGTTAGATATATAGTGTTTTGTGGCCTTTTTTCTTTTTTTTTTTAACTTAATATCATAGCTTGCTTATCTTTTCATATCAATATAAATCTACCATATTTTAAAAACCAACAGAATGTTGACTTATCTTTTTTTTTTTTTTTTTTTGGAGACCAAGTTTCACTCTGTCACCCTGGGTAGAGTGCCATGGTGTCATAGCTCACAGCAACCTCAAACTCTTTGGCTCAAGAGATCCTCTTGACTTAACCTCCTGAGTAGCTGAGATTACAGGCACCTGCCGCAACACCTAGCTGTTTTTCTTTTTTAGTAGACCCTTGTTATTGCTCAGGGTGGTCTCAAACTCCTGAGCTCAAGTAATCCATTTGTCTTGGCCAACTCTCAGAGTGCCAGGATTACAGGCATGAGCCACCGAGCCTGGCCAAAATATTGGTTTGAAAAATACGTAGGTGGCTGTTTTTTAATGTATGTAACCAGTCTAGCTATTACTGGATATTTTATTTTTATCCAGTTTTTTACACATCTGGCAAGGGAATCCATGTTGTCTTTGGGCTCCTAGGCTAATTAATATTCTATGGGGTAAGTTCCAAGATGTGAAAGTTCTGGGTCAGAATTTTACTAACAAGATCCAGGTTCTCCAGGAAGGTACTAATTTACACTCTCCTCTATAATAAATGAGAATGTATTTGCCATTCTGATAAGTGAAAAATGATACCTGCTTATAATTAGGATTTTTATTAATCATTAGGGTACAGAATACCCTTTAATATTATTGTTCCTGTTGGTTCTTGATATTTCTCTATAAGTTATTTGTATCCTTTGCCCATTTAGTCATTTCATTTATAGGTTTTGAATTTAATCCTTTCTATAATAATATCAAGTTTTCACTTGGTACTTCAATGGTTCTACTTCTTTTTGTCCTCAAGACATGTCATCATTTGCTTTACGAGATAAAACTGCAATGTTGGCTCCACACCAGCGAGCTGGGCTTCTTACCCATTTAAAATTTGAGAATAGGTTAAGAGATGATACTACTTCTTGATACATAAGTGTCAGTTCATCTGGAAGGGTTATGAATACCAATTGCCACATAGGACTTACAGGCTGACTATTGGCAACCTGCTATGGTAGCTGAAAGGGCTCTAACTTTATAAAGTATGTAGATAGATCAACATCTCTAATAAATAAAATAGACTTCTAAAAAATAGTTTTATTGAGATGATTTATAGCACACAATTTGCCTCTTTTAAGCGTATAATTCAATGAATTTTAGTACATTTATTGGCCTGTACAAACAGTTTTGGAATAATTTTTATCACCCCAGTAAGATCCCTTATGCCACTTGATAGTTAATTCCCATTGCCACCCCCAGGCAGCTATTAGTATTTTTCTGGACATTTGTCTTCAGGTGTATCTTTTCCGGATATTTTATGGAAGTAGAATCATGTACTATGCAAACTCCTGTGCTTAGCATCTTCTTTAAAACAACATTCAGCACTAGTGTACCTTCTGCCATCTAAATCTCACTCCCCTCCCCTCCTCTCCTAGGTTGTTAGCTAAAGTGTAGAAGTAACTTACTGTTCTTCTTAGTTGGAAATTCATGTATGCCCTTGAGTTAACCTGATGTAATACTTTTTTCCTCTGTATTAGCAGTGCCACACTCTGCTCTATGTTTATAACCTACCAGCAAATAAAGATGGCAAGAGCATCAGCAATCGGCTCAGACGCCTGTCCGATAACTGTGGTGGGAAAGTGCTGAGTATCACAGGCTGCAGTGCCATTCTCCGCTTCATAAACCAGGATAGTGCAGAGCGGGCTCAGAAGCGAATGGAAAATGAAGATGTCTTTGGTAATAGGATCATTGTGTCATTCACTCCAAAAAATAGAGAACTCTGTGAAACAAAGAATTCAAATGCAGTTGCTGATAAAGTGAAGTCTCCCAAAAAACTTAAGAATCCAAAATTGTGCCTCATCAAAGATGCAAGTGAACAATCTTCCAGTGCCAAAGCCACGCCTGGAAAAGGGTCACAGGCAAATGCTGGATCTGTGACAAAAAATACAAATATTAAAAGTTTACAGGTAATTTTGATACCTCCTGCTTTCTGAAGTTTATGGTAGGTTTGGTTTCTTTGTATTTTGTGTACCCACTTGCTTTGGTGTGCCCTTTTATTATTTCTGTTTTTGATAATGCTAAAAGTCAGTTGTTTTTAGTACAGGACCTAACACATCTTGGGTGATTAAATTTTAAAGCCTGCTGCACTTGTATCTTTTAAGGAGCTATGCCGCATGGAGTCAAAAACTGGCAATAGAAGCAGTGAACACCAGCAAGGTCACCTGAGGCTGGTGGCACCTCCTCCTGGTACATCAAGTACTACGGTGCCGGCACCTAAAAGCTCCGGGATGGCAGAATCGGTTTACAAAACCAGTCAGAAGTATGTTGAATTCCTCTTTCTCACAGTCGCTGCTTTAATGTGATAAAAACATAACCTTTTCCCTTCAATCTTCCCCTCTGTTAGAAAAGAGAACCTCAGTACCCGAAGTGTTACAAGTTCTCCTGTAGAGAAAAAAGATAAAGAGGAGACTGTATTTCAAGTGAGTTACCCATCTGCTTTTAGCAAGTTGATTGCATCAAGGCAAGTTGGTCCTCTGCTCTCCTCTCAGTCTTGGTCTTCTAGGTAAGTCCAGCTTCCTGGCCCTTGGGAATGGTTACATCAGTGGGGTGGGTTATGAAATATGGTACATTTCAAGCAACACATAAATGCACAAATAAAGATAAGTCTTCCATCCCTGTTGCACCAATCTCTTTCCTCCAGTAGTCGTCGCTAACATGTAGAGGCAGTCCTTCTTGCCATGTCTCCCTTTTCTATGTGGTAACCTTGGTAAGCAGAGGTCAGACAGGGAAGCCTGACCCGGAGTTCCTGGCCAGTGGTGGAAGCATGTTCAGATGTCCTTGTTTTCATCTTACTTAGAAAAAAGCCCAAACTAGGCATTCACTGGCTAGTCTTAATTTTTTTTTTTTTTTTTTGAGACAGAGTCTCATTTTGTCGCTCTCAGTAGAGTGTCGTGATGTTACAGCTCACATCAACCTCGAACTCTTAAGCAATTCTCTTGCCTCAGCCTCCCAAGTAGCTAGGACTACAGGCATCCACCATAATACCTGTCTATTTTTTTGAGATGGGGTCTTGCAATCACTCAGGCTGGTCTCGAACCTGTGACCTCAGGTCTCACTCTGGCTCAGGCTGGTCTTGAACTCATAGGCTCAGGCAAATTTACCTACCTTGGCCTCCCAGAATGCTAGGATTACAGGTGTGAGCCAGGGCACTTAGCCCTTACCTAGGCTTTCTAAACTCACACCAAGTAATTCTTGAGGCCTAAAAGATAAAGGAGCCATCGGTGTGTTACAGTCCCCCTTTTTTGTGAGCCCCTTTTTTGCGTTGCATTCATTCTGCTGAGTTGGTAAGAATCACTATAGACAGTGTCTGTGGACTTGTAAAATGGTATCTAAAAATCCACATTAAAGTTTTCCTTATATGCAGGAGGACTGCAGTATATGAACAAGAATATCTGACTTTTTTAGAGCCACAAGGGAGGTTAAATGACTTAAATTGGTGTCATAGGCTAATTTCCTAAGAATAAATGCCCCAATGCAGAAGTTAATTTATCAGGGCTGCCTGTAATTTTTGCATTTAGCTTTTAATAATCCAATGAAAGAAAACTTGAATAAATGTATTGGTTGTTAATAAGGGATCAGTAGCACTTTTGACAGTAAGTGTAAAAATCAGTGTATGTTTAAGATTAAAAACACATTTGAAAACAAAATGTTTGCTTTGGTGGTTTTGTAAGAAAGCTGTTTCTAGATAGAGTTGCGTACAGCCTAAATGATAAAGCCTGAATACAAAGACCAGATTTTTAAAAATAATCTCAAATGTGTGTTTTAAGCAGGAGTGTGTCTCCAAACCTTTTAAACAGAGCTTCCCCACTTGCTTTCAACATTGCAAATTCGAGCAGTGGAGCTGACTGCCCAGACCCATTTGCAAATGGTGCTGACATCCAGGTCAGCAATGTAGACTACAGATTATCCCGGAAGGAGCTACAGCAGCTTTTGCAGGAAGCATTTTCTAGGCATGGCAAGGTAACCTTTTCCCTCTTGTTCTTGTTTTTGTTTTACTCTTATGATGGAATTTCAAGTCAATAGAACTTATTTAATACACATAACCACAGCTAGGATATAAGTGTGACTGAACAGGTTTGTGCTCCTTCCTTTTCTCTATTGTCCTTGGGATGGTGTGGTACATAATAGCTTTTAGGATAGCCCCACAGAGCAAGAAACCTAACGGTGAGAAGTGCTCATCATACACAGGGATTTAAATGACAGTTGGGTAAATAAAAGGTAATGGGTTTTAATGAGCTCTACCTGCTGAAATACACAAATAGGGTTCTGAAATAATGTTCGTTGTTTTTGTGTCTTACTGTATTTGACTCGGTTTTTAGATATAGTTTGCTAAAAATGTATCTTTTACATATTTTTAAAATGGCTATGCCCTGGGTTTTGCAAGGTTTGGAGAAGACCCCAAAGACTCCTTCCAGGTGTTGGCCTCTGAATCTGCCTTAGAGAGCTGTGTCTGTGCCACAAAGGCAGACAGACCAGGCCAGTGTCACATCTCTGAAGGTCACTCCATCCTCACCTCCTTACATAATGGTCGGTAGAAGGGCAAAGCACTAAAGTCCACAAACGTTTTTCTTACTGATTCACCTTTGGTTTTAAGATGACAAGGTTCTGGGTGGACATAGAATTCTTTTTTCCTTTCTGCTATTGTAGGTAAAGAATGTTGAACTCAGCCCCCATACAGATTATCAGCTCAAAGCTGTTATTCAGATGGAAAACTTACAAGAAGCAATTGGTGCAGTGAATAGCCTTCACAGATACAAAATTGGCAGCAAGAAGATCCTGGTTTCACTTGCCACAGGAGCTGCTAATAAATCACTCTCTTTACTGAGGTAAGAAACAAGCTATTTATTTCAGGAAATAACATTTGTCCCAGAAATAATTTTAGAAATAGTAAAAGTGGGATCTATTACATTTCCAACTCTCTTATGATGATTGTACCTGCAATAATGCTTCTTTTTGATTCATAGAGTTAGGAGTAAGCCATTTGACTTTTGTTCAAGTCATTAATCAAAGATGAAGTACAGCTTAAACTTAACAGGCACTGGTGAATGAAATAATAAGCCACATGTTCAGAATAGATATAAAAGTAGTAGACCTCTATAATAAAAGCTTATAAGCCTGAGAAGTATTACTTCAGATTTTAGTAGAAAGTGGATTTGTCTACAAAGGTTAGTTAGCTAGGCCAACAAAGCTGCAAGCTCTCAACTTGTAGATATATCCTTAATGTCGAAGAAGACACCCAGCCTCATAAGTCTACATTGAGACAATGTCAGTCTTAGGAATCAGGCGATGATTTTATTCATAATGAGATTTGATTCTTCTTTGGCTCTCCCTGTTTTAGGGGGAACTAGTAAAATAGGAGCCACTACTGGATGTCTGTTGGGATGATAAAGGATATTTTCTCTAATTTGAACTTCAATAATACTTAGAATAAAAATAATACTAAAGAAAATTTGGAAAGTTCAGAAACACAAAAGAGCAGGGGAAAAAAATCCATCATCTATAAAGATGTGGCTTAAAGCTAATTACCACTAACAGTTAGCATTTTCTTTTTGGTTGCTGGGTTTTTCCCCATTGAGTGGTTTTTGGTGCGTTTTGGTTTTTTTAAACTGTAGTTGAGATTACATTGTATGCCATTGTATATCCTCAGCTACAGGAATTCCACTCACATGTACCTAACTTATAAACTGCAATATAGCAAGAGATTGTCATATTGTTCTTTCTTTTGCTCTTGATTAGAAGTGTCTTTTTGTTCCATGGGTGTGGAAAGCTCTGTGTCTGATAAAAATCCTAGTGTGGGACTTAATATTATTTCATTGGCTTGTCCCTAAAATCCTGTCTTTAAATTTTTCTGG